ACCAATAAAAATTTTTTTAATTCTACTAATAAAGATTTTTAATTCTACTAATAAGAATTCTTCTAATTTTATTAATAGAGTTTTTCTAATTCTACCAATAATAGTTTTTAAATAATATCTTAAAATTTAAAATTATCTTTTGAAAATCATTTTGCTTTATAGACAATAGCTGAAAATTATATAAAAAAATTTAGAAAGCAGAAGGAATTTGTGATTATTAGATATTAGGTTAAATATTATAAAAATCAGTCATTTGACTTAAGTGAATAAACGTAAAAAGAAAATGTATATATGTGAGTATTTTGAGAAGTATAAACCTAATAAGAAAAATTTAATTGAGCTACAATATAATAGAGTAGTATATAAAATCTATGTACATAATGTGTATATGTATATATTATTTTTTTAGTATACACATATTATATAATATAAAATAAGCATAAATTATTATTAAAAATAGATAAATTACATATAAAAAAGACAAGTTTACATAAGAAACTAATATAATTTTCTTATTTTAGTAATAAATTTATCAACTAATGCACATAATTTTTAGTTTAAATTTTATATACTGTAATAGAGGATCAAAAAACTGATTGCAAATATTATATTAATTTTACTAAATCTAAGGATATGATTTTATACATATTATTCTTATATATCTTAATCATAATTATGAATTACTTACTGATAATATAAGATTCATTACACAATTTTGAAGGTTTAGTCATTCTATATTGAAGAAATTAAATATGTGATGTATGACTATTGTGATACTTATACTATATGAAATTTCTTACAACTATTATTTTTTAACTAATTTTTTCTCACTCAAGATATATCAAATACTATTTAAAAGATTAAATGCAAAATCAAATTAATAGATCAGATGCTTCTTATCTATTGAAATTTCTTCTTAAGTAATAAAAAAAAGACATTGTAATATTTATATAATTATTAATTAATACAGATAGTTATAGACTTTGTGAATATTTTAAATAATATCAAATCAAACTTTATTATAATCTTATTATTCTGATATTATCTTACATGATTATCAGTGAATAAAATTTAAGTTAAATATTTGTTATACAATATATAAAAAATCATATACAATTTACATAAATATACTAATATTTTTATTTTTTTTAAAATAAAAGTTGTGTAATATATAAATTATAATTACATATAATTTGCAAAAATTAAAAGTTACATTTTGTAAATTCTGCAAACAGATTTTATATTGATGATAACACTTTGAGAACTAACAAGTATAATTATTCTTTATCATTATTTATACTTATTAATAATAATAGCAAATCATATTTAGGAAATACAGGCTTTTTAAATGATAAAACTCTGAAAAGTTATGAATAGGTTTTACAATAAATATTAAATATAATAGATTTAAAATCTTAAGTTATAATGACTGATATGAATCTTGCAATAAATGCTACATGTCAAAAAGTATATAAAAATATATATTATATATATTGTATTTAACATATGTTTCAGAATTTACCTAAATGTTAAAACTAGTAGAACTTGATAGACTAAGCAAACCTAACAAACTATCAAAACTAACAAACTTATCAATAATAATATAACTGTTATTATTATTATTTCTATCATTATTGTTATTTATTTTATAGTTAGCATATTTAATATTATTAGTATTTATATTAGTTTTGTTAGTATTACTATTATTATTAATAGTGTTCTAAATCTAATTATTATCAGTGATTTTCTTTAATTATATTTTTTTATATAAAGGACATGAAAATGCCTTAGAAAAATAGATTAGATATATTAAATATAATAAATAACATTAATAAACTCCAAACATATTTAACTAAATGAACTCCCTAATTAATATTATGTCAAGTTGATTGGATTTAAGTCATAATTATTATCTTTCTGACTTTAAATTATAGTTAACTTATTTAATGAAAGAGTAATATTAATAAGATTTTAAAAATAAGTTAAGAATTATAAATTTTAAAGTATTCATTAAAGATTTTGAAAGATTTAAAATTATTATATGCAGAGATTTTTAAGCAATGATTTTAAATTTTATTAGAGATGTTTTCTAATATCAAAGATTATTTAAATAATATAATTTACTCAATCTAATATTTGTAGATGATCTTGAAATGATCTTAAATAAACTTAAAAACATTATTTTTATTATAAATTTTAAGTCAAAATGATCTCATAATTTACTATTATTGATTTTATATATTTTAGATTTTAAGTCAACTAGTAATTAGATCTAGATAATCTTAATATTATTAGAATCATTTTAATGAAAGAAATTTAATAATAGTAAAATTATATTTCTAATATTAATATTAACTGAATTATTATAAAAAAAATGCATTTTACTATATATTATTTATAAGTTAAATAAGAGATATTTAGGGTCTTTACATAATAATCTGTTTAATTTATACCTTTTATCTTATTCTTATATAACTGATAATTGGTATTTAACCTATCTTTTTATAATCTATGTTTATTAAAATATATTTCATTTCTTTAATTTATTATTTTTATTAATTATTAATTAATATTAATTATTTAGTTTAAAATCATGTTTCTTATCTTTAATTATTTGTCTCAGATTTAAATTATTTTTACTTACTATAAATGTATTAAATTTATATATTATATGATTTAAACTGTTATCAAATATAAATAAGATAATATAATTTAAAAAAATTTATTTCAAAAATCAGTATAACTTTTATTTTTACTTGTTTAATTAAATATTTGCCTATATAAAATCCTTTTTTAATTAAAGATAAACTTAAAGTTAAAATTAAAAGTCCTAATTAGTCTTGAATAATTTTAAAAAATAATTAATTTTAAAAATTAATTTTTTTTTAAATAATAATATTTCATCTTTTTTCATGCTTTTATCATATCATACTTCTATCTCATATTTAGTAAAAATAAAGGGTTAGCTTTTTTAAATATAAAAGAATTGTTTTGATATTATTGTAATATATTATAAAATAATTATTATATTATTAAATAATTATTGTATTATAAAATTATTATAATATTGCAGAATAATTAATATATTGCAAAATAATTATTATATTATAAATTTATATTATAATTATATATATAAACTTCGCAATATTGCAAAATTCTAAAGATTCATTTTTAATTATATTACTTTTAAACTACTATTTTTATTAATACAACTTATATAAACTAGATTCAATTTAAATCATTTGTATTTTTTAAAAAATACTAATTATTATAAAAAGCTTATTTTTCTTCTCACATTTTTCAGATTTTACAGTAGCGATCATAAGTATCTGACCTCTTATAATTCTTAAAGTTAATTAATATTATCTATTAAATTTTTTTTTAAATTTAAGTTCAATACTAACTTTGATAATCTGTAAAATTATAGATTTATATCATATATAATTTAGAAGTTAGATGATTGATAGATTTTATATTTCAAAAAAATTACCTTTTTTTATATAAATAATTTTATTTTTTATTATTTAATACCTAAACTCCTTAAATATATAAAATTTTTTAATATATTAATTTTTTAGGAATTATTATAGAATTTTAGACAGATTATACAGATAGTTAGAAAACTTTAATACTATATTCTTCTTTTTAATTTTTAAATAATATTTGTATTAGAAATTGGAATTGATTCCTATTATTAGAATAGAATCAATTATAGAATTGATTAATTGTGATTAATTATTTTACAAAATTCAATTCTAGAATTTGATTTTTAATTTTTGATACTCAGAACTAATCGAATTTATGTGTTATAAAAAATAATATTAAGGTGCAGGTAATTTTGTTGATCACAATTTTAATATGAAAAACCAATTTTTAACTTTTGTTATTACTGCATTTTTACAAAATTTATAATAATAATTTATTTAATAATAGAATTTTAAGTATATTTATTTAATATTATTATGAATATTTATAAAAGAAAAATAAAAAAAATTTGGTAATTAATCATCAATCTCAGCTTTTTCATATATGTTGATATATACTTTATTTCTTTTTAAAAATATGAGTTGGTTAATAAAATATGAAGCCAAATAAATTTTTTGTGATATGATTAAATTTTTAGCATCAGAAAAAAGCCTTTCTGATAGAACTAACGTAGTAGGAATATAAAGATATTTTATTGCTAATTTGTATAATACTGAATATTAACTTTTATTGTTTAACTACCATCAAACTGGATCATATTCTTCAAGAGTAGGTAATTCTAATACATTTAAATAATGTTAGAATTCATCTTTTATTAGTATAACAGTTTTATTATTCTTTTTTTTTTTAAAAACTTCCCATTATTATTATTAAATCATCTATATTTTTATCAAATATTATAGAACTATCATTTTGTTTAAAAATTTTAAACTCTTCTTTTAATTAATTAACAATACTATTTTTTTTTTGTGAAAATCAATAAAATCTAAACTTTTAAAATGAGAATCAAAAAATGATCCTTTTAAATATAAATTTTAAGGAAAATTCTATCTTGATATTAAATTTTGTAAAATTTTATCATTGCAATATTTTGCTCTATTAGTTTTCAATAAAGTAAAATAACTTTCAAGCCTATCCTTTAAATTACACATAGTTAGATATACAAAATCAATTGTTAAATACTTTATACCACTTAAAAAATGCATTGCAATTTCAAAAGAAGTTAAAAGCTCTATTACTTCTTTAATTATTTTTTACTCATTAATTATAGGATAAAGTTCTTCTAATTTTTCACTTTTTTACGAATATATAAACTTTTATCACTTATTAAAGATATCTTTAGCATCAAAATTACTAGTTTAAGAACAATAAGTTTTTGAAAAATATAAAGAATTGAATTCCATCTTGTATTATTTACTTTTACAATATTAAGATAAATATGAATTTCAATTTCTTTTTCTAATTCTTCAGTTTTCTTATTAGCAATATAAATAAATTTTTGATTCTTTTAATTGCTACTTTTTTTTATCATCTGATAAAAAAGTAATAAGATGTTTACACTTATCAGCTAATAGTTCTATTTTATCTAATTCTTTTTTAATGCTCAATTGAAGAGTATGAGCAAAATATGGGATCCTTTTACCAATTTCTAATTCATTATATGCTTTTTTTATATTTGAACTATTATCAGTTACTATAGTACTTATTTTTGATTCAATCTCCTATTCATTAAATAATCAAAAAATGCTCTTTAATTTTAATTGAACTATGTAGATATGGTAATTCTGCTATACTAAGAAGTATTTCATGTGGTTCAAATTTAGATATTACCCAATGAGCAGTAATACCTAAATAAGGTAAATGTATTGGTGAACTCCAGGTATCTAATGTCAAAGAAATATACTATATATGTGAAAGTTGATTTTTAAGTGTATCTTTTCCAATTTCACATATTTTTAAGATTCAATTTTTAAGTATTTTAGTATAAGAAATTTTATAATATTTATTAAATCTATTTATCATATTAATGAAATTCAGATCTTTTACAATACTTAAAGATTGTATACTCACCTAACAAAAATAACTAACCAACAATAATTTTGCGATTAAATACCTCATTTTTAAATAAGTATATTTCAATAATTTATATATTAATTTCATATAAATTTTATATTATTAGATAGGTAAGAACTTATATTTTAATATTATAACATTATTTCCATTC